TTTTTTGGTATAGAACAAGCCTAGGGGTGAGAGCATAAAAATTCCGAATTTACTTTTTCACAATCATTTTTGGACCACCCTAGTGCGCATGCCACTCACTTCACCTTTGCTCAAGCTACGCTTGTAAAAAATGCCGAAAAGCATTGAGACACTGTGCCGAAACATATATAGTTTCTTTTCCCACAGTCCAAAGAGGATACATGAACTGAAGGAATTTCAGGACTACTGTTCGGTAAAACCCCACAAAATCTTGGGCATATCTCAAACACGATGGCTTTCAATATGAAGCGTTGCGTTTTTTATGGTTAAATTACTGACAAGCTTAATTTCAAGCCCGCTTCTTCTGGGTGAAGTTAGCCTTAATGTTCGCAACCAGGTATCAAGACACTTTTGTCCCCTACTTTTGAAAACTTGTTAAACTAATTTTGAATTACACGAGCCACTCCGTTACTTGTGCCAGAATTTTAACTCTCATTAGAGCACATTTGATATATCTGATACAAGTATTGTGTCGTAACACGCTAGTAATATCGACGTTTAAGTGAGAACGTAACCTGGACAGACTTTGTCTCATTTGGCTTAATTCGCCAGTCCTTCAGCCATTGTCTTATTTGGTTTAAGCCATTTTGGACTTTTGTACCCTATTTTTGAAAACTTGTTAAACTAATTTTAAATAACACGAGCCACTCTGTTACTAGTGCCAGGATTTCAACTCCCATTAGAGCACATTTGATATATCTGATATAAGTATTTTTTTTTCGAGCACGCCCCTGCCCTTACTTGGCTACGCCCATGGATATATCTAGGAATGAAGCTGTACAATACTTTTGTGTTCGAATGCAGTTAACAAGCATGTGAACTTGTTCGATTGTGCTGTGTTTTTCTTCCTGAAACCGAAATTGTGATTAGGGATAACGTTTCTTTGTTTTATTACTGGCATCAATCTTTTGAGAAAAATAGTCTACAGAACTGTAGAGGCGATGGGTAGCAAACTGATTGGGCGGTATGACTCAACTTTCTCTGCACTCTTTCCTGGATTAGGAATCATTTTTACCTGCGATACTTTCCATTGAGGTGGAACGAAAGCAGATGAAAGAATTGCGTTATAAATATAAGTCAGGAAAGTGTTTCCTTCTTCCGGGAGTTGTTTTAATATTTCTTCAGCGATTAGATCGGAGCCTTCTTAGCTTTAAGTTTTTTGATAGCTTGCTTGAGAGTCTGTCTTACTTTTTTTGCAGTATTGGGGGAGGGTTCAATTTCATGTGGAGCAAACACATTTTTTAGGTTACGTCAAAATGTGCTTTTAGCCCATTGGTTGTTTTCCATTCTGCAGGCGGGTTGGGCCAGTGTTGGCCTCTTTAATTCTGTTGCTGAGGGCAGCTGTGGCACCTAAGTTACTGAGATAATGATGAAGTTGGGAATTGCGTTATTTTTGCAAGAGTTATTTGAACTCTCTCGTTAGCCTATTAAAGCTTCATTTGTCTTCGGGATGGCTAGCCTGCTGCCACTTCTTTCTAGCCTGACGTTTTTTGGTCAGTTTTTGTTCTACAAGCAGCACTGCCAGAAGAGGGACTTTTTCCCGTTTTCTGGTATTTTGGCCAAAAAAGGGATGGCGGGAACGGGGAAAATCACATACGCCGTGCCCATAAGTATTATAATATTACTATTAGGCTAAAATAGTGAGCGATACATTCACGGGAAAGATGTATGAGATTCAAAGATTAGTTACGTGAAGAATCTCGACCGTCAGCATCCACCTCCAATCAAAGTCGAGCATATTGCACAATATGTGCAGTAAGCCTTCTTCTTCCTTAGGAATCTTAACTAAAAAAAACATGCAAAAACGCAAGAACATGTCCAAAAATATGAGTCAATTCATGACAATTAATAACCAGCTGAAAATTTCGCAGTTCACTAATGGTTCGGTAGCACATCAAGCTAAAAATGGAGAGATAAAGCTATGTGCGTTTGCGGGGATCTAGAGAAATATACTTGGAGGTTAAGAAAAACCCGTGTTTCTAAATGTTTTGCGATGTTGCTTTGACCAGGGCTTGAACCCAGGCCCGGCGGAGTAGAAGCAACATTTTTAAAAACTGAGTTATATAAAAAGGGTGAAAAAACTGGAAAACCTTAAATAAAAAATGGGGAAACTATATAGAATTGCATGGATAAAAAGGGAATAGGCTCGCCCAAAACCTGGAAACATTGTTTACAAAAGAAGATATTCTTGTACACTTTGATTTGCTTAGAATGGGTGTTGATCTCCAAACAGCTTGTTGGATGCAGTTATTGAAGCTGTGATGATATCTTCGCTAAATTTCTTCGAATGTTTCAATCTTAATTTTGAAGATGTTAAGCTTTGGAAGAGATTGCAGTCAGTTCTGTTGTTGTGAAGGCAACATTGAGGAGGAGAGTGGTCAGAGAATAAATCAAAACAAGGATTACATATTATTTCATTATCTGCAATACCTTTAAACACGCAAAAAGTCTATTAAGTTTGAGTTTTTTTATCGGTTGGCCAATACGTTGGTGAGTCTGAGGAGGCTGAAAAAGAAAGAATCATGATCGATCCTGGATGGCTTGCATCCACGGCATTTATGAACATTATTATATATAAATAAAATATCAGACATTATTTAACTTATTACCATATTATCATAAAACCACCTTTTCTGTAAATAAAAATGAGGATTTTCGTAAGGTTTTAGCAACTTAACGTGGGTTCCGTCGATGCAGCCAATCACTCCTGGAATCCCAAAATGATTATAGAAGTATAAATTAGACTGCCGATATTCATTTTTCCTCCTTTCAAACTTGGTGCACTTAGGAGACTGTGTTTTTTCTAAAATAACTAAGATTTCTTTTAGAATTTTTGACACTGTCATCGTGTGTAGCAGTGTTGCCAGGTCTTCGGCATGAAATGACGTCCGTTTTGGTCTGAAAAAACGTCATTTCCTACCCAAAAACGTATTTTTCAAATGTATGCACAGAGAATTGCTCTTATTAAACTTTTGTTGTATACAAAGGTACATAAGTATTTACGTAAGGTATATTAAAATATCATTTTGACAGAGCACATTTAAAATTCATTGTAAACTGCTTTGAGATCGTTATATAAAAACCATTTTATACATACACTTGTGATCAGCTGATTAAGTCATCAACATTTGGATCGATTGTGGCTGTTTTTGTTTATTTAATGTTTATTATTTTTCCATAAAAGCCTAGATTTTTATATAACAAACAAAATATAAATCCACATTTCAAACTTTGTGCAAAAATTATAAAAAATCTGCAAAATTTCAGCTAGATTTTCACCTTTTTATTCAGATTTTTAGAATATTTTTTTGAGTATGCTATCAATCCTGTTAAATTCCAAGGTAATAATGTGCAAGTTTTAAGTTGCTAGAGAATCGCGTTGATTTTTAATAATTCTTTTTCTTGTAGCATTTGGTCAGGTAATCGGTTGTCGAAAATGCTAAATTACGGTCTGTAAGAAGGAACATAGCAATATTTCAGCCGTTTTTGCGTTCATTACATTTTCACGGCAGTCTTAAACAAGTCGCCTACTTTTTTCTGACTTTTTATGCTGCTACAGCTTTTTTGGTGCTTTTGCGAGCATGCGTGTTGCAATAGATCGGTTCTTCCTGATTTGGCTTTTAATGTGCAATTGCAAACATTGCAATAAGCCTCGTAACCTCAAGTGTTTACAAAACCAGCCTTTTAACGCGGGATCCTTAGTCCAAGAATCCAAAAAATACGCGTACGCTTGGTTTGCATCATAGTTAAGTCATCTCTGTCCAAAGAATAAATATCTTTTGTAGAAAAGTGCTGCGAAGAAATGCTTGTAAAGATTTGTTAAGAAAATAATTCAAAATTAGTTCTACTTACAATATTTAGTAACAGAGAAAAATTACTGGGAAGTTAAAAACGTCATTTCTTATTCGAAAAACGTCCGAACGTCAACNTAATTACGTTAAAAATGTCAACCTGGCAACGCTGGTGTCCAGTGCGATGTGATAATCCTTTCCGATACCTCGCTGAAATCCTCCTTCCGCGAGGAATCTCAGCGTCGCTGGTAGCTTCAGCTCAACTGGTGTAGTTGACTGTTTTTTAATAGAGTTATAACTCTAATAACACTTTTAAAATCTGCTTTATTTATTATGTTGTATGAAATAGATCTGAAAATAGAAATTGTAAGTTAATGGTGGTGAAACAGCTTTATATACGCCCTTAAACATCCTCTGGGGGTCCAAGGGATTGGAGGGGTCTTCCAGAATACGTCGCGCGATTTTTTCATTGCTTTTCCAGCCACTTGGACTCATTATATAAGCACAGTTAGTTTTGCAAACAATTTTACTCATTACTAAATATTTAGTTAAGTTTGTTGCTTTGGAAACAGTTGTTTCGAACTTAACTTCGAACATAATCGAAATCGCATGAATTTTATCACACCTCACATTACGTCAAATGATTACCTTTTCAGTGCGAAATTAATATCAGCTAAAATACTGCTTTGTTCCAATGTGAGAGGATTGCAAATGTTTAAAAAAAGTGTAAAGTCAGTAAATAAAATGTGAAAANCAACTTAACTTCGAACATAATCGAAATCGCATGAATTTTATCACACCTCACATTAGGTCAAATGATTACCTTTTCAGTGCGAAATTAATATCAGCTAAAATACTGCTTTGTTCCAATGTGAGAGGATTGCAAATGTTTAAAAAAAGTGTAAAGTCAGTAAATAAAATGTGAAAACATGACTTGACTTTCATAAAGTAGGGTTTTTTATGTTTAAATGATGAGTATATGTGTTTAGGCAGCTCAAAAATATTGTCCAACTAGCAATACCCGGCGCGCGTTGCTACGCCAAAGAAAGACACATGTATTTAGAGTTTTGAAACTGAAGACCTTTTTATTTACCTTAATGCTAACAGATAAACAATATTTTAAGTTTTTTTATTTGGTGTGTAAATATATAAATTTTGTGGTAACCCAACTCGTGAACAGGCGACGTATAATTTCCCATGTGAAAAGCACATTCAAATCCAAACCCGCTATAGTTATTGATTGCCCTTGTGCTTTATTTATAGTTATTGCAAAAGCAAGACCCAATGGGAATTGAAGCCGCTTGAATTCGAACAGTAAATCGTTTGAAATCATCGGTATACGTGGAATCAGCACATCTTCCCATTTGAATATACCGCTGATGATTGTTGCCTCGATCAAATTCGGTGTTATTTTTTTTTTATCACTGGTTCCGTTGCACAGTTTTGGCGCATTCAAGTTCCGAATAAGCATCACTTGTGATCCAACCTTTAACGCCAACGAATGAGGAGGCATTCCAGGTGGCTCCAAAGAATTAAGAAATTCAGTTGGGTAATTAACAGCTTGATCTTTATCCACTACTACCTCAATCGATTTATATTCGACTGCTTCTCCTAGAATTTTCAATTGAATTTGACCGTTTAATTTACTAACACCATCGTTCTTCGGAGCTAAAATTGCACGTGTGCGGAGCCATTCCGGATATCGGTAGTTGATCGCTAAGTTCGGAAATACTCTGTCGATGACGTCTTGAATGCTCTGTTGCATTTGACAAAATTTGGACGGAAATGATATCTCATTTGTTGTGCGATCAATAGAACTTCCGATATCCAAAAGTTGCTTTGAAAATATTTGGGCAGATGCATCTTGCAGCAAATGCACTCGCATATTTGTTGGGAGCGTAATTTTTTCGACATAGTTCCACAGATGCGATACTTTTGAGCACGCGTTCAACACCTCTGTAGCCGTTGATCGAGCTATAACGGGTAATGTTTGAGGAAAATCACCTGCAAGAAGTATACCAGCGCCTCCCATCGGTTGATCTTTTCCACGAAAATCTTGCATAGCTGCTTCGAGCGATTTCTTATGTGTCATGGTGCATTCGTCCCAAATTATAATTTGATTTTTATGACTATGGTCATACCAGAGTTTTTGCTGATGTTGCATGTAGGTATTTCGTTCTGCTTCAAATTCAATGCAAGCTTAAGTGCTGAATGCACTGTACATCCGCCATCAAGTGGTGTTGCTGCAATTCCCGGTAATGCTACAGCTACTGCAATCCCATTTCGCATTCGAACTGACGCCGATATTAAATTGATGAGAAAAGTTTTCCCCACACCTCCTAGATCATCTAGGGAGATAATTCCGCCATCTCCTTTGATTACACGTTGCATGATTTTGTTATAAGCTTTTTCTGATCAGCAACTAAAAACTCTTTTTGCGTTTGCACAAATCGTTATTAAAAATTGTATTATATTTTTTAAGCCTTATTAAATTATACATTAATATTGAGTACTCTTTTAGTTTTTAAATATTAAACAAATTCGCTTTTTAAATTGCAACCTGGTGAAATTTTTCACAACTCTGGCATTAACGTGCATACATATGCACACATATAGATTTAAAAATTTAGAATCGGCAAGTTTATCGCACTATATATCTTTGGTATTTCTTAAAAATATTATAGGATTTTATTTTCTTAGCTATGTGGCAACCCTATATGATAATTGGCCTTGACTGAAACATTTCCCGATAGCTCCCGTTAGATACGTATCCGGCGAAATACTTTTTAATGTACACATTTATGTCATTTTAGTTTTTTGAAAGAGGTGGCAACTCTACTCAAACATATGTAAATGTTTCTCCAATACCTTCCGTTTGATACACATATTGCAATATTTGGTGCGAGCTGCATTATTACTAAAATATTTTTTTATGTAAATTTTCTTAAATATCTTTCCCAAATACCTTCCATTTGATATCTACATCGTAATACTTTACTTGCATATTTAAATAAATTCTATTTTTCTGACAGGTGGCAACTCTTTCAAAAATAGCTAAACTTCACAGGAACACTCTCCGGATTTCTACGAAGCTATCCTGGAAATTTTAAGCAGTAAAGTTACCTTTACTAACAGTGCAGGCAAATTGTTCCTCACTTTAAAGAGTTTTGGTTTTCTTATCTTACCGGTAAAAATAAATTTGTTATTCCGTAGAGTGAAACCTCACTACATTTCCGAGAGTGAAATTTCACTACATTCGTCATAAAATTTCAAAGGTTGGCAATGCAACATAAGTAAATATAAAGAAAGAGAAACTGTTAGCAAAAACCAAAACCTTGGTTGAAATATCTCACTCATGAACCGAAACCAAACCAAAATTTTAATTTGGGTACACATTTTTAAAGGCTGCATCGGGTGAGCAACAATTTATCGATTCGAGAAGTTAATGCGCTGATGAGAAAGCGAAAACTCGTATATCAAGACGAAGAAGTGGTCGGTAATCTAAAGGTTAGATGGCATTATCGAAATTCCTAAATTAAAAAAAAAAATATTTACTACATGTCTCGTAGATATACCTTATGACGAATTTAGTCAAGTTTCACTCTCGGAAATGTAGTCAAGTTTTCTCTACGGAATAACAAATTAATTCTTACCGGTAAGATAAGAAAACGAAAACCCTTTAACCCTAGAACACACACCCGGGTACAAATGTATCCACTTTCAACTTTGAAGTGTTGTAACTTTTGAACCGCTATACCTCTATACCGCTAGGATCTAGGAAGATTATTTAGTTTTGAGTTCAAATTCAAAATTTGAACCAGATCGGACCATTGGTTCAGGAGCTACAGCCTTCCAAACACATTATATACGTAAACACACACCCGGGATACGTTTGTACCCCAATAGTAAAAATCCTCATAATAATAAAAAAAAACATTTTTTATATTATTTTTTTATTTTAAAAACTAAAAATATTCATTTCACACATTATATTATTGACTTTTATTATAAAAATTATAAAAATGCATCTTATATCTAAGGAAAATCATGGTAAAAAAATTTTAAATTTGTAATGTACTCATTTTACTCAACTTCGGTGTAAAAAAATTCATAACTCAATTTATTGTAGACTGCACCCCGTAATACTATACTTAAATATTGCGCAATACTCAGAGCTACCATTGTGATCTTTTAAAATTTTTTTTAAGATGGCATGTTTTCAAAAACTATTTTTTTTTATAAAAAAAATTATAGGTGAAAAATTTTTCAAGAAAAAATTCAAGAATATTTTTTTTCATAGAGTATTTTGATGTGTGTATGTGTGATTTTTTTCAAATCAATTCAATTTTTTTTAAGATAGCATATTTTATGCGAAAAATTTTTCAAGAAAAATTCAAGAATATTTGTTTTCATAGAGTATTTTGGTGTGTGTATGTGTGATTTTATTCAAATTTTTTCCCTCGCCACGTTCTCGAGATATTTGGAAAACTATTAAATCGATTTGTTTTGGTTTTTGTGCTGTGTGGTTTTTAAAAATGTATTAATCAAGCCCAAATTTCATATTTTTTTTTATTATTTATGTTTATCCATCAACCCTAACAATTTGAAACAAATCAAACACATGAAGTGTGAACCCCGTCCAGTTTGGTATTGGAGCACCCCATATATATATATATATGTATATCCACAGCGTTCTCGGAGACGGCTCTAACGATTTTGATGAAATTTTGACACAGATAATATTTTGGATTTTAAGGTTATCTGAATAGGCACCATCTCCGAAAGACTCGTATAAGGTTGCCACCTATTCGAAATTAATTACAATACATCTAATATTTATATAAAATTTATTTTTAAAGATTCTAATTCTAAAATATTTTTAATAGGGTTGCCACATATTTTGAATCGCAAATTTATTTAATTTTTTGTTAAAAAAAGTGAAATATTACTATTCATGGGTACCAAGAGAAGGTTCTTAAACAATGCTTTCCCTATATACAAAATTGTATCCCTTAGGATAATAGTGTAAGGTTGCCACTTATGTTCGATTCTACACAATTTATCTAAAACATCGCAATATGGATATCAAATGAACGGTATTGTTGAGAGCTTTGGTCAGAAAATATTTTCCATCAGGGTTGCCACGCTTCTATGTATGTAATAAATATTTGTATTTTGTTAAATTCATTCCAGAGTATTTCGGAATAGGCTTTCCACCTAAATTTTAGAGTAAAAAATTTACTTAATAGATATCGAAAACCATTTTTTTTCCAAAATATTTTTGTAAAGCTATCCAAATCTTGAAAACTCTAAAAATGATATGCCCTCCGGGCAAAGCTTCGACAACCTGGTGGTCATATTAATTTTCTTATTCAGTAAAACCATATTCTAGGTACGTAAGCAAGATGAGCGAGCGCCCTGAAAAATTGTTTAGTTCCATGTTTTGACAGTTAAATAAAGCATCGTAATTGATCAAAAAATATATATATTTGATGCCATTCTCTCAACTTTACTTAGGGCCGTTTTCTAATGTAAGCAGTAAAGTTGCCTTTACTAACAGGCGGAAATTGTTCCTCACTTTCAAAGAGTTTTCGTTTTCTTATCTTACCGGTAAAAATTAAATTTGTTATTCCGTAGAGTGAAACCTTCACTACATTTCCGAGAGTGAAACTTCACTACATTCGTCATAAAATTTCAAAGGTGGCAATGCAACATAAGCTAAATATAAAGAAAGAGCAAACTGTTAGCAAAAACCAAAACCTTGGTTGAAATATCTAACTGCTCATAACCAAACCAAACCAAAATTTTAAAGTTTGGGTACAAATTTTTAAAGGTCTGCATCGGGTGAGCAACAATTTATCGATTCGAGAAATTAATGCGCTGATGAGAAAAGCGAAAACTCGATATCAGACGATAAAGTGGCGGTAATCTAAAGGTTAGATGAGAAAACGGCCCATAATGTAGAAAACCTAGGAATAGAATAAGATGTATTATAACAGGCTCCAAAATATTTATGTATATGAGACACCCCTGATCTGCACAAATCAGTTTGATTGGAAATTTGATTTTTTGATATGGTTTATACTTTACTTTTTGATGTGTCATAATTTTATGTCAAAAAAAATTTCACGGCAAATCAGTTTGATTGGAAATTTGATTTTTTGATATTGTTTATACTTTACTTTTTGATGTGTCATAATTTTATGTCAAAAAAAATTTCACGGCTGCGAACCTTTACTAACCTTTACAAGAAAAAACGTTGTTTTTTGCAATTAATTATAAAACAAAGACGAAAATTAGTAAATTAATATAGCACTTCATGTTGATGAAGTTTTTATCGAAATCAAAAAGCCAACTGCGTCGGCCAGCAGCCGGATTCTAATTTGGCTATCGCTAAAATGCGAAAGCTTACATTTTATCTGTATATTTGGCTATGTCCAAAAATCACAGTTCACACCTCCCTTTCGTTAAAAAAAATTTTAGTATTTTGTTGCAGTTGAGTAAATTAATCGAATTTAATATATAGTAAGATGGGAAATACTATTTTTCTTAGAAAGCTTCGGAAAATAACAAATTAATCAGCTTTCATAAAAATTGCAACTTCTTGCTGGTTTTGCGTTTTCGTCTTTGTTGCATATTTCTCTCCTTGGGAGTAAATATTGGCTTACTCTCCGAAATTTGGTTACTGGCAAGTTACTGGATAGTGTCATACTGGATAATACGAAAACAGAGCTATAGGTTCGGTTGTTCGCCGGGTGATGTACAAATTTAGATCCAACCGTAAAGTATGCATTGCAACAAATTAAAATATTCTGCAATACTTATTAAATATTTACTATGCAGTGGCGTAGCCAGGGG